TTTAGAGAAATGTCTGCAACCTTGAGTTTGAGGGCCGAGAGCAGGCACATGTCTTTTGGCATCCTGGCTCAGCTGTTGTATTCAAACTTATTAATCCACGCTAGTTTGGCTGCAAGCGTGAGGTCTAGAAGAGTTGTCCCACACAGGTTGCAGTTGTAATGGACTATCAGTGGAAGAAAGGCAGAGGCTGTCAGCTTGAATTAACGAAGGGATTCATAGGCTTTGGTGGACTGAACAACTTGCCCAAGGTCATGCAGGGATGTAGTGACCAACCAGTGAAGACAAGTGATCTTGCTGAAATCACAGGTCATCCTTAGTTTTTAACTTAGTTTGAGGTTAGAGGCTTGACAATAGCAGGTCTGATCTGCTGTTGCATCACTGCTGCTTTATGGTTATGTACTTCCACTAATATAGCTGTAGTTATAGCCTCGTATCTACTGGTACTCTCTGGAGAATATTGACTTTCCTAATTGTTTAATAAATCATTAACAGTGCTTTTAGTGTATGTGAGGGTGTGCACGTTGGGTTGTGGATTAGAACAAAAGGTAAGGCTGTTGTGAGGCTCCTGCAGGATATATAGAGAGGAATGTACAATCAAGTATAAAGGTTTTTTACTCCTTAGAATGGAAAAGTCAACTTATTTAATTGCATGTACTTTAATGATGAGGACTGACTCAGAGAGTTTGAAGGAAATGCACCAGCTGTGCACATCAAAGCTTAAAAACACAGTCAGTAGCAGCTTAGAATGAATGAAGAAATCATGAAATTATTAATTTTGGTGCTAAGAGAAAGGAAATACAAAAAAGTTCAAACGTTCCCTGGCAGAGCGCTGCCCTTAAGCCTGCAGCGCAGCTGCTGCCTGTCCACCTCTCCATCCTGCCGAGCCGCTCTGTAGTGCTGGGGGATTGTTGCCCAGGCATAGGCACCTACTGCCGTTTCAGGTGCCCTGAGATGACCCAGGCATCGCGCCTGCCTGGCAGATATGGTATGGGGCATATGGGAGACTTCTGCCCTTCTGCAGTGGCAGCTGGGTGCTCCCAGGCATCTCAGATGGCAGGAGATGCTTCTGTTTAGGGAGCTGTTGCACTTAGACCCAAGTACAGAATCACTTCCGCTTGCGTCATTAACACACAGTCACCTGAAGCACATCAGTAGCTCATAGCACTGCTTTTGGTGGGTAATTGCAGCAGGTAATGGGCAGTTATGTAATTTTAAACTTGGGGGGTATTTTGAGATGAATGGAGCATTAAAATCTGAGCAGGATATAGTGTTAAAACTATCCTGCTCCAGTTTAAAGTTGCAGTGGGTGGTTGTTTTCGTAATGACCTCAAATCCATGAATTCATTGTAACATTTGCCTTTTTATATATTCATAGTTAAATATAACTTGAATGTTGTCCTAATTACATTCTCATGTTAATTTTGCTCTGATTCAGAATTTCTCTCATTATTCTTTGTAGAATTATTTTGAAATGATGGAAAGTTCAGTAAAGATGCTCCAGTGTGTGATTATGCCTTTGAATTATTTATCACGTTTGAAGACAGAAATATGGTTAAAATCTAGTTTGAGTTGTAAATGAGTCTTGGTAACGTAAGGAGGAAGTGGCAGCTCTTTTCACGGAGCGATGTGGTTTACGGGCGCATCATCTGAGAGTGCAGGAGCGCATGGGGGCCCTGCATAAACCAAGCACCTTGCAATGAAATAAGAAAAAACCCATTGTACCACCTGGCAAATGCTGCCCAAGCAGATAAGACAGATAAAGTGTGGAAGAGGAGAGAAGGAGGTAGTTACAACTTGCTCAAAAGAAAAAGCAGCTTAGTGACAGAATTAAAAGGAAACAGCTGTCCTGACTCGGGCCCGAGCAGCCCTTGCATCACCCGCTCTCCCTCGGCTTTGTGCTGTGAAAACAAAAGCTATCGCAAGCAGCACTTAGCCCGTGGTTTTCACAGTGCGTCACAGTGGCAAGTGGCGCAGTGTTAATATAAGGCTGTAAAAACTGTGATTTATGCAAAAAATCATGCTTGTGTCTGTGGCCCTGAGTCTGTTGGTGAGCCGTATGCGAGCTGGAGAGGGGGAGAAACTGCTGGGGGGATAAAAAAAACCCTCTAGAAGAGGAAAGGAAACTTGCCTCAATGTAAGCAGCAGTTTTGCTAGAGGTAAGTGAGGGGAAATTCTTCATTTATAAACGGTTCGTTGACCCATGATAATAAAGCAGTGCTGCAGAAGAAGGATAATTATCTACTTAAGTATCAGGTGCCCTGAGGGTAAAAGCTTCTCTTCCCTCCTTTTGAAAAATGAACTCAGATTAAACAAATGTCCTTTTTCCTGTTTTACTGTTGACATGAATTTCCCTTTTATGAGTGAAATTAATTAGTTTTTCTATTCCTTTATTCCTGGTATGGAAATCAGGTCTGCCGAGCAAGTTTTGAGCTTTTCCCGTGGGCCCTAAGTTCAGCCAATGGCATCCTTTATGGAGCCGCTTTGTACAGTGCGCTGGGAAGGCACAAATAAATTGCAGGAGCTTTATTATGCCCGGTAGCTGCCAGGAGGCACAGCCTCTTAGAACTAAAAACCCACAAAACCAGACCGTTTTCTCCCAATTCAGGAATGGTTTATTTCCAACTGCCTGTTTACTAAACAAATATTAATACACAATTCTTCTTTCTTAAAATTTTTTAATGCTGTGAGTTACAACAAGGGAAAAAGAGAACAGTGGAGGCATAGATAATGCTGTACTAAACAAATAAAGGCCAGATTTTTCAAAGCAGATTAACACCAAAGCTGGAGCCAGACTTCTGTTCCGTTGTGAGTGAAGAGAGCTGCTGCTAGCTGTGAAGCTCTTTGGAAAAATCTGCTCCCAGTTAAGCAAATATCCATTACAATATTGTCTGTCCTTATCTGGACCTTGAAAAATGATCAAAACCTGTCTCTACGTCTTTACTTCCAGAAAATGTCTGTTTTTTCCTACAGTCGGAAATATAAATATGATAAACGGTGATAAACTCGGTGAACGTGTTGTTTCTTTGTTTATGGAAATAAATCATCTTTTGCATGTATTAGTCTTTATTTGGAATTTCTTACAGGGTTCTTGAGAATCAGGTTGACATAACCTTTGTGTGAACCTGCTAACTACAGAGCATCTCCTATGTACGTTTCCTAGCGTATAGAGACTATTTCCTGAATACCTGCAGGCTTCTAGATGCTGTAAAAATAAATACTACTGTAGTACGATGGCATGGAGCTTAATTTTCTTCAAATAGTCCTTTGAGCTCTCATTTTAATACTGAAAAAATAAGAAGCTGTTAATTTTCATAGCCTTCAGTTATGAAAGTTCAAGTGGTGTTAGAGGTGATATTTAAGGTCTTTATTCTGCAAACGTGATACTGCAAGTTAGGAAGAAAAAAAAAGAAAAAACCATCTGCAGGGAATTGAGATGGGAGTCAAGTCCCAAGCGCTTGCTTGTTGGATTTAACACAACTGAGGCCCTGTTAAGAATTCAGGACCTTATTAATAGTGTTACAAAATTGGCTTTCAGTTGAGGAATCCTAGCAATTATTTATTTCTGTGAACACAATGGGCCAGGTGACGGTGAATAGTGTCTGTGTCCTTCCGTTGTTTGCTTTATAGCTTCATTTCACTGACTCATGAAGCACCGTTATCAAGGTAGAATAGAGTCGAAGTATATTTGTAATGTTGGGAACACAGAGTTTGAAAGGAAACAGTCTTCATTATCTAACTGTATTTCTAAACACATACAACAGATGAGCACTCCTAGTGAATGGTAATTACTGTGTTGTAGGAATAAGAGACCTGCTGTTACCAGCGAAGTGTTGGCTATTCAGATTTAGTTACCTGAAGTTAGAGGTGTAGGATATGAAAAAGCATAGTAAAATTGCTGTCACAGATCACACACCCAAAACCACTTTAAAATCCTTTGGCCTTCTCTGACTTTCAGAGATCTAAGATACCAGCATCTCTCCATGCAGTTCAAAATGATAACTTTGAGTCTGTGAAAATTTAGAATGCTTTCCTTAAGATGTCTCAGTAATAACAACATCTGTGACCTTGTTTTAGTCATTTGACCCATAACTGTGGGGTTTGAGGAAACTGGGAAGGATTCTGAACAAAATATTGTAGGATCTGTTGTATTCAGCCTCATGTTTTAGTTGTTCTCGCTGTGATCCTCAGAGGAAGAGGAGTTTGGAGACGGTTAAAAGGTGACCAGGAGGAGGTTACAGGTGGGGAGTGGGGCATTTAGCCTTCTGGGCCACTCCAGTTTGCATTTGTGCCTTGACAATACCAACTCCAGATGTCCTTGTTTGCCCTGTGCGGCCAGTGGAGCGTTTTCGCGACCTGCGTCCTGAGGAAGTGGCCGATTTATTTCACACGGCGCAAAGGGTTGGCAACGTAGTGGAGAAACACTTCTGCGGCACCTCCCTCACCATTTCAGTTCAGGTTTGTAAACTAGGTCAACTAAAGAGGCTTTAATGGTTTATTTTATCAAGCTTTCAAGCTTCTTCCCTAACCCAATGACAAAAGGACGTTCAAATTTTGAGGGGAAATGAATGAAAAAAAAAAAAAAAGCATGATGATGCTTTACAGAATGCATAGCGGTCTGCCAGATTTGCCATTGAAGGAGGTTAACAGGCAAAACAGAAAAAGAGTTTGGATAATTAATAACTGCAAAACTTTGGGCTAAGCCTGGAAACACTCCCAAGTGCAGAGTTTATCTGTGAGTATTTCAGTAAATGCTACACCGCCGAGGAAAAGTTTGCAGGGTTGACCTTCTAGAGAAGGCAGCCACATCTCCATGTTCGGCAGGTAACCCACTGCTTTCAAGACACGGAGGTAATTCCTCTTCACATCTATTCGTAGGTAAACAATGGGACTTTAAGTAAGCGTGCTTTGATAAAAGCATCACTTACATCTCTGATTTTGTATTCACAAAGATCAGAAACCTGTTAAGAGCTTTTTAAAAATACAGTCTGAAAGCATGAAGAATAACAGCCATGGTTTTTGTGTTTTACTTCTAAGATACAGTTTCTCACTTTGCCATGGCCTGATATGAAAAGGCACCTAGTCCACAAGCTCTGTGTTGAATGGTCCTCAGGAGAATATGCCAAATTAACATACAATGAAATTGGGTGTAAATTATTAATGAGTGATATTTCTGAATCACCATGGGATCCTTGTTAGTTCCTCTAACCTGAGACTTCTCTTTCTGCTTACAGGATGGCCCTGAAGCTGGACAAACGGTGAAGGTGAGTGCTTATTATGAAGGACACAAATTAAGAGAGAATTATAAGAACAAATAAAAGATGAGAACTAGTCATCTGCAGAGCATTGCTATGTTGTTATTTTATCCTTGAGAACAGAAAAATCCTGTGTGTGCAATCGCCGTAAATGCTTTTTATTGAAATTGCACAGGATGATGTTTGCGTTCCTTTTTTTCTAGACAAAAGTTTTCAATCCTGAAAATATCTTTTCTAAGCTGCTGGCTGTATTTATGCAAGGAAAGCCACAGGAGAGAGGCATCTGGTTAAGTTCTTTGTTTGTTTTATGAAGAAAATACTGCTATTCCATTCATAATCTCTTTGTTTGTCTTTTTACTGCCTAATGAGTTGTAGCTAATTATAGGAACAGTTAAACAGAACCACGTTATAAAAATACACCTTTTGCCTATGCTTTCTCTGTACGACGTACTCATGCCACATTCTTGTTACCGAAGTTCAAATGTAATGGAGCCAGTGAAGCCTAAAAACAGATTTTAAGGGTGCTTCTGAAAGAAAAGGTGGGGGGAAGGGAAGGATTTATGATTATGCTCTCCGCTTGAGTAATAACATAGATAACATCCAAGATGGCTCTCCAGCCATGTTTCACTGCCTCGTAATGCAAATGCAAATGCCTGTGTAGTTAGATTATATGCCTGAACATTAGGTAAAGGTTATTTTTTGCATTCGGAATCAAAGTCAAATATGGCTATGGGTTAGCGCTTTGTAAAATCATGTTAGATGCATCTGAGAAGCTGTTTGGGTTGATTAAGGTTACTCTAACAACCAAGTGATGGCATATGGAAGCGTTTTACTTCTTTCCAATTTGCTGTATTGACCTTACTTTTCCTACTCCTCCTTGTTGCTTGCTTTGAATATTTAGCAGAGAGGTGACAGGGAGAGAGAAGAAGAAAACAGAAAATTCCCAAGTTTTGGCAAGCTAAGGAGTGAGGAAGGAAGGTAACGCAAATGTACTGCAGTGCTGCAACAAAACAGATTCTTCAGCTCTTGAGTTAGCCTGCATCGGGTGGGTTTCAGTGGGAATGCGTGGGGATAAGTAAAGTCTTGCAGTTTAAACAAGTTCAATGCAGTTCTTAAGTAAGTTTTGTCATTAAACCACACCAAGTTTTAGCGAGATGCCCCAAGATTTCTTTTACTCTCTTGAACAAATATTTTTTCTTTATAAAGAAAGGGCTTATAGAAATGTTTATATTAAAAAGTGAGAAAAATTGCTTGTGTAAATGAGCAAAACTGGATGTAAAGAAGGCATGTCTTGCTTGATTGTGAACCATAACAAATGCTTATGTAGCCTTTAAAAAGGCAGGAAGTTCTATGTAGTTCTATACTCATACTGGAGGCAAAGGGCATAAAGTGTTAGTTTATCCGGTAAATTGGCAAATGGTAGACACCCTTAGTGCTTCCTTCTCACACTTTTAATAAATAATGAGATAAAAATGCCCCACTGTTAAGGTTGTGAACCCCTAGACTCCCTAATAAAGAGTTTGTATTCATAAATCAGAGGTTAGCAGTTTGCGTTTTTCTACTTTTCTGCATCATTGGGCAACACTGTAATTTATCATCATCGCTCTGGGATGTTTATCATCTGAAAATGCCAACGCTATTTTCTTTAAAGAACTTAGAGCCTTCAAAACATGCATCGGGGAAGAAATTACTGTGATCAAGATCTCCTTTAAAGTGAACGATAAGGAGGGTACATAAATAGCTGGTTCCATTTAAATTGCTTTGAATCAGAAAGTTTTAAAAACCACCTATGCAATCTACAAATAATTTATGAACCTTAAATTCAACGTCTCATGTGTTTCTGTAAGTGTTTTTTCCTCCTGTGTAAGCATGCACAATCATCCAGTCTTCCTCTAAGGGACCTTTTAATTAAAATTTCTGGAACAGACTAAACATTAGAAAAAACTTTCTAATAATAAGAATAGCTAAGCATCACAACAAATATCCAAGGGAGTTTGCGGAATTGCTGTTTCAATAGGGTAGGCAAGCGTATGTCAGAAGCTAATTAGGTGTAGCTCATCTTGCTTTGAGCAGGGGCACAGACCAGATGGCTTCTAGAGTCTCTTCCATTTCTATTTTGTATGAATCTGTATACCTACATAAATATAGGCTGTTACATGTGCTACATACGAAATTACAGGAAGGCAGAAGAGTAGTGGCTGCTGAACTAGTTACTGCAAAACTTGCCTACAAAATGGGGAGAGCTACCAGCCTAACCGAAAACAAAAACTGAGAAATTTTATCTGCACATGCTAAAGAAAGTCTATTTTCTGCTCAACAAGGAAGAACTATAATCCATATATAGGGAAGATCTTGGACCTCAGCACGGGTATGAGTCTCACGTCTTTCTTTGCTGTGGAGAAATCTGAAATTATATGTGCAATGTATACACCAGGTATAAAACAGATTACTCTTTCAGTATGTTTTTTGATAGAACTCAATTATAAAATGTTGTGTGCCAAGCTACAATGTGTTTTGTGCTGCTGTGAAACCTGCTGATGTGTGCAGGTTTCTGTCAAATATATCATATATTGCAATGCTGGGATACTTCAGTAGTGCCTTGTAACACTGTAGGATTGAAATCTTCTCAGTTACCTAGCAGGAGGCTGTTTATCCTCTTAACACATAGATCCATTATTGCTCTACTTTGTTCCTTTTGAATACTGTCCTCCTTTGATCCAAGTTAGCAGAGCCTAGAGAAGGGAGTTCTAGGGACACTCACGGCAGTTCTTGCAAATCCTCCCATTGTTGGGGTCTGTGTGTTTGCATTGGATGGGTCTTTGGAAGAAACCGTATTTATACCTGACCCTCAGTTCACCAGTAATCTGGAACGATAGGCGGGTCTTCTCTCTCTCCCTCTTTAGCAAAGAATACATTTGGTAAGAATTTTACACCAAGTTGTAGTCTCAGAGTATGAAGTATGTTACTTTATAATCTCTTTCATAGCTGCCCACAGGTTCTGCCCATTCCAGCCCTATGACCTGTTTATGAGAGGGACAGATGTCCCTCCCCAAAGGTGCTCGCAAACTTGCACGCTTCGTTTTGTATCGTGTGAGGTCCTTGCACCCGCTCACAGCACAGACCCCAAGCATCTCTGAGTAGCGTGCCAGCAGGCATAACCGTCTTCCAGCACATTAAAGACATTTTTAATATTTTGTTTCTCCCTTCTTGCAAAAGGGAAGAAATTGTTTGTGATTCTCTCTTAAAGAATGTTTATCTCTGCAATTTGGAGCTTTGGTTTTATTGGAGAATGTAAAGCCCACAGTGTCCTTGTGCTAGGACAGGAGAGTGAGCTTCTCACTGCTTCTGCCTGAGAATGCCTTAAATATCCAGGCAACTTAATGGATCAGGAAAATCATTAAGATGCAGGGCTCTTAACGCTATGTCAAGTGAGTGACGTTTCAAGATGTTCACCAGTGTATTTTATAGCCTTCTTTCCAACATCCAGTCAGCAAGTGCTCTCGCTGCCTTGGTGGATGTATAGCATACTGTTGAAGAAACTCTCAGCTTTACCTTTTATGTGAGATTCAATCACAAGAAACTCCGTGCACTCTGTACTCCGTAAAGGCTAAACAAATCAAGCTGGCAGGAGCATGATACAACTAATTTATCTGTAGAGACAAGATAATATTGCACAGCAAGTGTCCATTGCACAAATGCATACAAACACATAGTCTCTTTTGCAGCAGTGTCAAAGTCTCAGGCAGCTCAGCACCTCCACGGTTGTTCATGAGTAACTGCCAGTTTGCCAGTTACAGGTTCACCTAAAGAAATGAAGAAGCGAGGCTGACGGTGGCAGTGTGAGTATATGTGCAGAAATTTATTTTATATGACACGCGTTCCACTAATTATTTTACACTGAGAAGATTGCCTCACCGTTATTTTTTGATGTGTGTGTTTTTCTTTCCCAGATGTTTTTTTAATGCTATGTTAAATCAACCCACCTGGCTTGCATTCTTTAGAAATCTTAACCTGAACTGAGAAGTCTGAGGTTTATTTAAGCTCACAGCAGACTTCTCTTTCATTGTTTGTCTATCTGTCCCTGTTGAGCTGGAGCACTGGACTTCAGACTTGAGTCTTTAGATTTAATCAGATCACATTGCAGACTGATTGCATCAGAAGGATTAAACTTACTAACAGCAATACTTGTGGTGCCTCAGCCTGCTTTCCCTGCAGTCTGGCAGATGTGAATCCTTGTTTAATAGAGTATCGGAGTCCACCTTTTGCTCTGTTAAAAGAACAAAAAAAGGTGGCATCAGAGAGGAAAGCAGAAATTGTTCTTGTCTCTAAACAAATTTAAAATTTCAAGTAGACAAGCATGAGAAAAAGAGACGTCTTAAGTTTTTGAAAACCAACACTGTACTGAAACCTGTGAACAAATGGTCTTATTTGCTTCGCTCTGGAGACTCTCTTGAAGGCTTGTGGGATGTCCAGAAAATGATTTGATAAACTACAGAAGTCTCTTTCAATTGCTTTGAGAAATGCAGTAATAGTATTTGGTGGTAAAATATGTAATATTGTAGATAGCTAATTGGTATTGCAAATTCAGTAGTTTCAAGACTGCTGTGCCTGTTTTGTGCTTGTAATTTTCTTTCTGCTCTGGTACTATACTTAGTTTGGGGTGTTTTTTTGGTGGGGATGTTAGTATGTTAGTGATGTATCTGCTCAAAGCTGGGACTATACTGCCCCTTGCAGAGACTGGGGCAGCCCGGAGAGTTTACATTATTGCACAGATCACTGGAAGCCTTTTGCTAGCTCTTAGCTTTGTGCTCACTCTAAATAATGATTTTTGCCCTTCCCTTCAAGGCCCCCTCTAAATCTGCCTCATGTTGGTCTCATTCTCCTTTCAGTCTTTTAGCAAGGCCTGTGATTTCTATAGCGCCTCCAAAAGAGGCACTTTTCCAGGAAAAGCAAAATTCTGCTTGTTGTTTGCAGTGCTCATAGCCCAAAGAGGTCCCGAATGGATCTTT